CTCTTAAACTAATCCAGTCTATTTCTCTTGAATACACTTTCCTTCTACCCTCCATCATTATACATCCCACTCTCTTTTCATTTTATTTTATTTTTTGAGACAGGGCCTCACTCTGTTTCCCTACTTTGTTGCCCAGGCTGGTGAGCAGTGGCACACTGATGGCTCACTGCAGCCTCAACCTCCTGGGCTCAAGCAATCTCCCACCTCAGCATCTGAGTTGCAGGACTACAGGTGCACACCACCACGCCCGGCTAATTTTTGTTTTCTTGTTTGTTTGTTTTGTAGAAACGGGGTTTCACCGTGTTGCCCAGGCTAGTCTCATACTCCTGAGCTCAAGTGAGCCACGTGCCTTGGCCTCCCAAAGTAGTGGGATTATAAGCGTGAGCCACCGCACGCAGGACCCATATCTCGCACTCTGTAGAACCTGCCAAAGACAAGTTCTGGTAAGTATTCATAGGATGATCCTCCTCATCTCCAGCTGTAAAACACCCTTCATGGAATGTTTTTCTGTTCTTTCATTCTTGTTGTGTCAGTTAGTGCCATTTTTCCAAAGACATACCACCATCCATGACATCCTGTATCAATTATGTTAGTAAGGGCCACTCTCTTGAGAAAATTTAGGATTCAAAAACTACTTCTTTTGTTTGATATCAGAGGATGCTACACCAAAAAAAGAAAAAAATACTAAAATAAAAACCAAGAAGCAAAAAAAGTAACTTTCACTTTTTATTTTTAAAAAAAGAAAAAAACAAAAAATACTTCTGTTGGTTTCAGGAAAATAGAACCAGACAGGATAAAATCTCCCCTGCTTATACAAAACTCTTTCCAAAACATAAAAGAGCACTCTCCCAGGAATAGAGGCTAAAAGGCATCCCAGAAGAAAATAAGAGGAAATCTTGAAAGTGAGCCAAGGCTATCTCCATCAGCCACCCCCGAAGGGTGCTAGCCAGAAAGCTACCCCAGCAAGCTACCTATTGAGATAATTTGCAACTGGGACATAATGGAAGAGAATATGGTTGCATGATATGAGTACAGAACCTTCAAACAAATGAAGGAAGAACAACCCTTACATCCAAAGAGAACAGAGTTAAAAGGCTAAACAAGAAGGAAAAAAAATCTTTAAATAAAAATACTTCAGAGCCTCAGAAAAATAAAAGCAGGATTTAGATCCAAAAATTAAGAACAGGGAATTTAAAAAAGCACAGAATGTCATGATAAATAAGCAGTAAAACAAAGTAGATGTATGAATCAGTAAAATCTAGGACAGAACTAAGACATCTCCCCAGTGCACATCACATAAAAATTATAAAAATGTAAAACACGGAGGAAAGTTAGAAAACTAAAAAACAGATCTAGAAATTTTAATATGTATAAGCAACCAGCTAGAGGAGAAGCAGTATCTAAAGGAATAATGACTAAGAAATGTCCTAGAGTTTGAGACCAGAGTCCTCAGACTAAAAGTGCTCACTGAGCACTAAGTAAGATAAATAAAACCCACACTCTCCCATTCTTGAAAACTCTGGGAAAAATAAAAGAGAGAGAAAGAGAGAGGGGGAGAAAACCCTAAAAGCTACTAAGAGAAAAGAATAAAAATCAAGACCGATATCAGACCTCTCATCAGTAAGCATGGACACACAAAAATGGTGGAAAAGTAACTAGACTCTTACTCCAAGCAATATTATCATCCAAGGACAACAGGAGAGGGTAAAATAAAGCAATATTTTGGGATATATGTAAAAGACACAGTAAGATTCTACCAGGTAACTTTTAAGCAAGAATAACAATGAAAATTGTATTAAAGAATAAATAATCTAGGTAGCACACTACCTAGAATTCAGAGGAAAATTTCAATGTCAGTACTCTGCTTAAAATCTTCCAATGGCTTCTCTTTGCCCTCAACACAAAGTCCACACTCCTTAAAAATGACTTCAGGATCTGTAGCTGGCCCCTACTAATCTCCTATCTATCACCATTTCTACAACCATCCTTCTCCAGGCAGTCGCACTGACTGTGTTGCAGTCTCCTGCCTCCAGACTCTTGTTTAAATAGTCTTTCCTCCAGTCCACTCTCACAATTCCCTAACCTCTTATCCAGGCTGATAATACCTAAGTGTTTAAATACCACTTACTCTAAGAAGTCTTCCCAAACCATCCTTAGATACCCATCCCTTAATTAACCCCCTTAGATGTTCTCATAGAAGCCTACATTTCCCATCAAAGCAGTTCTGAAACAGTACCCGTTTACTTGAGAGTCTTTGTCTACTAGACTGTAGGTGCCTTGAAGACAGATACTGTGTCTTGTTCACTGATAATACATCAGCTGCAATCTATACAATTTCTCATAAATACCTGACAACTATTCACTTCAGAGAAATGTAGAAAACCTTTAAAGTCACTCTTTCAGATTTTTGCACAGTCCTTCTCTCCCTTCTCTTCAATTCTATCAAAACATTTCACAAGACACTGAGGGAAAAAACAAAAATCAATATTCATGAAGCTATCCAGAATCCAAATTGTAGTTCCAAATTCTATCATAAAGAACTGACAATTTATACATCAATACAGTTGTATAAATTTAGCCAGAATCAAGTTACTTTTTTTTTTTTAGACGGAGTCTTGTACTGTCGCCCAGGCTAAAGTATAGTGGCACAATCTCGGCTCACTGCAACCTCCACCTCCTGGGTTCAAGCACTTCTCCTGCCTCAGCCTCCCAAGTAGCTAGGACTACAGGCATGCACCACCACATCCAGCTTATTTTTTTGTATTTTTAGTAGAGGCAGGGTTTCACCATGTTGGCCAGGATGGTATTGATCTCCTGACCTCATGATCAGTCAGCACTGGCCTCCCAAAGTACTGGGATTACAGGTGTGAGCCATTGCACCTGGCCTTAAGTTTTTTTTTTTTTTTTTTGAGACAGAGTCTCACTCCATCACCAGGCGCCAGGCTGGAGTGCACTGGCATGACCTCGGCTCACTGCAACCTCTGCCTCCCGGGTTCAAGCAATTCTCCTGCCTCAGCCTCCCGAGCAGCTGGGACCTACCGGCGCGCGCCACCACGCCCAGCTAATTTTTTTGTATTTTTAGTAGAGACAGGGTTTCACCATGTTAGCCAGGATGGTCTCGATCTCCTTAAGTTACATATTTTTAAAGTTAAATTTATACTCACTGGAAGAAGGGACCCTGATTTGTAGTCTATTTCACAGGTTCTCAAAACATGTGTAACTAATTCTTTACTCTTTTCCTTGTGTATGATGGTACAAAAACAAAATATTCTTTCTTTTTTAAAACCAGTACTGACTGGCATAAGGACAGACATATATATAAATGGAAAAGAATCTAGGATCCATAAATGAACTTACACATTATGGTCAACTGGCTTTCAAAAAAGGTGCTAAGACAATTCAGTGGGGAAACAATAGCCTTCAATCTGGAAGAACTGGATATACACATGCAAAAGAATAGCCAATAACACCTCGCTCCTTCCCTCCTTCCCATTATACATAAAAGTCCACACAGGACTCAACAGAAGAGCTAAGAGTATTAACTCTTGAAAAACAACACAGAAGTAAGTTTTTTTGACCTAGAATTAGACAATGGCTTCTAACATATGAAAACAAAAGCACACATGACAAAAGAAAAAATTAAAATTAAGATTGAACTACATGAAAATTAAAAAACATTTGTGCTACAAAAATACCATCAAGAAAAATAAAAGGACACTGCATAAGACAGACTTAGGAAAAAAGTAAATAAATTTTTAAAAAAGAAAGTAAAATGACAGCTTACAGTATAGAAGAAAAGATTTGCAAATTATCCATTGGGTAAGAGACTTGTATATATGTAAAACCACAATTGAATTTTTTAAAAGACCACCCAATTAAAACACAGGCTAAAGATTTTAACAAACATTTCTCCAAAGAAGACATACAAATGGTCAATAAGTACATGAAAAGATGCTCAACCTCATTTATCACCAAAAAAATGTGTGCATGACAACCACAATGAGATAGCACACTTCACACCCCTACAGGGCTTAATAAAAAACAGACCCCAGCACTTTGGGAGGCCGAGGCGGGTGGATCACGAGGTCGAGAGATCGAGACCATCCTGGTCAACATGGTGAAACCCCGTCTCTACTAAAAATACAAAAAACTAGCTGGGCGTGGTGGCGCGTGCCTGTAATCCCAGCTACTCAGGAGGCTGAGGCAAGAGAATTGCCTGAACCCAGGAGTTGGAGGTTGCGGTGAGCCGAGATCGTGCCATTGCACTCCAGCCTGGGTAACAAGAGTGAAACTCTGTCTCGAAAAAAAAAAAAAAAAAAAAAAAAACAGACAACATTGGCAACCTCCTTACATTGCTGGTGAGAATGTAAGATGGTACTGTCACTTTGGAAAATCATTGTGGCAGTTCCTCAAAAATGTTAAACAGAGTTACTACATAAAAACAGTTCATCTACACAGAAAACATAAATGTTCACAGCAGCATTACTGATAATATCGAAAAAGTAGAAACAATCTAAATTTCCATCAACAAAATAAATGGATAAATAAAATGTGATATATCCAAAAAATAAAATATTATTCAGCAACAAAATGAGGTATTATACATGCTATAACATGAATAAACCATGGAAACATGCTAAATAAATCAGTCACAAAAGACCATATACGATATGATTCAATCTATACGAAATGCCCAGAATGAGCAAATCTATGACAGAAGGTAGATTAATGGTTGGCTAGGGCTGGAGGTGAGTGAAAGGGTATAAGGAGTGACTCCCAGTGAGTATGACACTTCTTTTGGAGGGGGAGAATACGTCCTAAAATCGATCATGGTGATGTTCGCACAACCTCGTGAACATTATAAAAATCATTAAACACTTTAAAATGGCAAACTGTATAATAAATTAATCATATCTCAATTAAGATGCTAAAAACAAAACAAAACACTACTACTCACCCAAATGTGTACATCCTTTACCCAAAGAAGACTTCAGTCTTACCTTTTAAGGGCATCTTTTAGTTCAGGCACAGAACGAATACACTGAACTGTAGCATTCATGTAACAAGTGTTACCAAGGTTTGTCAATCCACATGGTAACTCCATCTGGTTTAAAAAACAAAAAAAAAAAAGATTAAATGATTAAACCATTTTTACACAATGACATGGCCTATATAAATCACTAAAGTTCTCATTTTGAATCAAGTACATTTACTAGCTTCTACTAATTTATACTCTGGCTTCACTCTAAAGAAACAGTTTTATTGGCCGGGCACGGTGGCGCATGCCTGTAATCCTAGCACTTTAGGATACCAAGGTGGGCAGGCCACCTGAGGTCAGGAGTTCGAGACTAGCCTAACCAACATGGAGAAACACCGTCTCTACTAAAAAAAAACACTGGGAGTAGTGGCACATGCCTGTCATCCCAGCTACTCGAGAGGCTACGCCAGGAGAATTGCTTGAACCCAGGAGGCAGAAGTTACAATGAACCAAGATCGTGCCATTGCACTCCAGCCTGGGCAACAAGAGTGAAACTCCCTCTCAAAAAAAAAAAAAAAGAAAGAAAGAAAGAAACAGTTTTATTTCCCTCAACAAAAATGTTTACTTGGATCATGCTGGCCATCATATTATGTTTTAGCTTCCATCTTAAATATAATAAGAGAATAATCATACCAGTCCTGCCTTTTTGCAGGTTTATCAAGAGAGCAGAGTAGGCAAAATATGCATAGAAACACTTCAAAATAAAAAACAAAGTAACAGGTTGGGCACAGTGGCTCACGCCTATAATCCCAGCACTTTGGAAGGCTGAGGAAGAAGGATAGCTTGAGGTCAGAAGTTCAAGATCACCCTGGGCAACACAGCAAGACCCTGTCTCTACCAAAAAAAAAATTTTTTTTAATTTGCTGGGCATGGTGGTACATGCCTACAGTCCCCACTACTCAGGAGGCTAAGGTGGGAGGTTCACTTGAGCCCAGGAGGTTGTGACTACAATGAGCTATGATCATAACACTGCACTCCAGCCTGGGTGACAAAGCCAGACCCTATCTCAAAAAAAAAAAAAGCAAAAAATAAAACAAGAAAATGAATGAATGGCACTAAATAAATGCTAGGTGTTTCAAAAGAAAAAAAAAAGAAAACATGTGACACATGTGTTGGTCAGTTTCTAAACTGACTTTGCACTTAAATTCAGGATAAAATGTATGTATTTTCCCAATGAAGGATTTTAAGAATTTAAATATTCCAGCATTTAAACTACTCTTTGACCCTGTTTTCTCATAAAATAATAATAAAACACTTAAATAGTACTACCTGCCAGAAACATATTTATTACAGCTATCAAATAAATATATTTAAGTTAAGCCTAAGTAAATTCACTTGGAAGTCTGAAAATCAATAATAAAGTGTACAAAACAAAAAAAAACCTAACTGTGCACTATTTAACTACAGAATGACTCTCTTAAGCTAATCAAAAATAAAACTCTTATTTACTGCTAAAAACATCTATCTTGATATTAATAATTAAGTCTTCAAGACATTTAGATGCTACTTTCTGAAAGACACCTTAATAATGGTCCTTCAAAAAGTAGTGATCAAACGTATCAAATCTGGAGTGTCTTACGGCAGATGCTAACTGTTCTTCTGTCATGTCTTCTACAAAGACAGTTTTAGCTGAGGGTTCCTCTGGAAGAGCATCTGCTGACCCCATCATTAGTAGAGTCATTCCCTGTTTTAAAAAAAAGTAATTTAATGAAAATCCTCAAAAGTTTGTAATGTTTATGTCAAACAAAAGAAGCCAAACACAAAGAAACACATATTACATAATTCTATTTGCCAAAAAAGTAAATCTACAGAAAGTAGATTAGTTGTTGCCTAGGACTGCAGGTGGGAAGAGGGAGTGACTTTAAATGGCACAAGTTTCTTTCTGGGGTAATTGGAAATGTTCTAAAATTAGACTGTGGTGAAGGCTGCACAACTCTATAAATATACTACTAAAAATCACTGAATTGTTTAAATCAAGTAAAAAGCCACTAGGGTGGCTGCTTGAGGCCAAGGCAAAGGTGTACAAAGAAACTTTTTAGAGTGATGAAACTTCTAAATCGTGATTGTGGTAGTGGTTACATGACAATATAAAATTGCCCAAACTGTACATCAAACACAGGTGAATTTTACTCTATACAAACTGTACCTGAATAAAGCTGAGGGAAAAATAAATATTGCCATAAAAACACCTAATAATGTTTACAATATTGAAGGGGAGGGAATTCCTCAAATGATCATTAACATTTAGTGGCATTATTTCTCTCCATAACAAATTAACAACTAATAAAATTCAGACCAGGCATGGTGGCTTATGCCTTTAATCCTAGCACTTTGTGGGGCCAAGGCTGGTGGATGGCTTGAGTCCAATTCAAGACTAGCCTGGGCAACACGGCGAAAACCCTGTCTCTACAAAAAATACCAACATTAGCTGGGTATGGGGGTGTACTCCTGTAGTCCCAGCTACTTGGGGGCTAAGACAGGAGGATCACTGAAGCCTGGGAGGTTGAGGCTGCAGTGAGCTGTGACCACACTACTTGCATTCCAGCCTGGGCGACAGAGTGAGACCCTGTCTCAAATAACAAAACAAACAAGCAAAAAACACTCATAAAATTCTTTCTGTGAATGTCCATTGTGTAACTGTAACGATTATTTACATTTGAATACAAATATTTTTAGAGCATTAATTCTCCATTACTGAAAAACATCAAACCAAACACACAAATTTGTTCAAAATATCCAATTTTGTAATTCTACACATTAACCTAAGTAAATATTTTTATTTAATACATGTGTAAACACTCCACACAACAGAAGGAAAAGGAAGACACTGTCATTGCAAAGCTTATAATCTTAAAATATGAACCACATATTACTCTCTTACTCAGTATCTTAACTGGAAGGTATGAACACATGAGACAAAGAAAAAAGGTAGGACCAGAAGTGGTTTAAAAACAAACAAACAAAAACCAGGGAGGGAAAAATGATAGCCAGAAGACTAAAATTATCCAGACGATCAAAATTAGGAAATTAGTAAGACCAACAAATTCAGTTAAGAATACCGATAATTAAATCTAATGACCTTTATTCTATCATCCTTTATATCTACATAGACATTTTATAAGATCATTGCAAACCTGTAAAGCAATACTAAGCCATCACTACAGATTTTTTTTTTTTAGAGACAGGGACTCACTCTGTCACCCAGGCAGGAGACAGTGGCACAATTATAGCTCACTGAAGCCTCAACCTTCTGGCCTCAAGTCATCTTCCCATCTCAACCTCCCAAAGTGCTGGGATTGTAGGTATAAGCAGGTACCAGGCCAAGAATCTTTTTTCCAAAGACAATTATCTTAGGAGCCAATTATTTAAAAAATATACTGGCAATAACCAGTTAGAAAACACAATAGAAGAAATACCAACATATATCTAAGAATAAATATAACAAGAAAAATGTAATACTTTAATGAGAGAAAAATAAAGCTTTAATTAAAATATTTTAAAAAGCACCTAAATAAACTGAAGGACGTAACAAGTGTCTGAACTTGAAAAATTACTATAAAGATGCAATTATAGTTACATTAAGTTTAATGAAATTCCTTTAAAAGCCTTGCAAAATGATTCATTCATGCAGCACATTTATATCCATGATAATAACTAAGAAATTTCTGAAAAATAAGAGAGATTAAAACAATGCCCTTAAAAATAATTAGGAAAAGGGATTATATAATGAAAAATACTGAGAAAAAACGTATAATAATTTAGAAAAACACACTATCGGCTCCCCACTTCATACCACACCACAACCATAATGAATTATAGAGTAAAGATTTAAATGTAAAAAAACTAATACTTATAAAAGAATGCAAGTGAATCAACAAACTCATGTATTGTTGGAAGATTTTCTGAAAGTGACATAAGACTGATATAACTAGCTACACAAATCTTAAAAGTGTCTATAAAAAATTTGAAAACAATAAAGTAGAGACAAAATTACACCATATATATGAAGCACTCAAAAAAATAAATCATTAAGAAATAGGAAATACATAATACAAAAATGAGCAAAAGAGATAAAAACAAACAAAAAAAGGCTTAAAATTAATGACCTAGGCAAGCATCTACCTTAAGAAGCTAAAGAAAGTAAAAATTAAAACCAAGCCATGTGTGGTGGTGCACACCTGTAGTCCAAGGTAGTCGGAAGGCTAAGATGCGAGGACTGCTTGAGCCAAGAGTGCAAGGCCAGCCTGAGCAACAAAGCAAGACCCCATCTCTAAACAAAAAAGTTACCACCATTTGCCTGGATTTCAGCATTTCATTCAACAAAATATGATTACATAAAAATTTTGAAAACTTTTTAAAAATTCAAACCAAAGTAGGAAGAAATAAAGAGAAAAAATTAACACAGTAATAAATGAACAGGCTAAAGATGTTTCTGGGAGGGGTAAACAATCAAAGAAACTGATAAACCTCTGGCTGGATGATAAAGAAAACAGACAAATCATAACTTGTCAATACTAGAGGAGAAAAAAAACAGCACTACACATGCTAGAATTAAAGGATAATAACAGTAGAATATAACAATCACTTCGACAACTTAAACGAACCAATTCCTTAAAAAATACTAATTACCAAACTGCTATGAAAGAAAATATAATATTTAGTCCTACATTTCTTAAAGATCTTAAATTCTTAAAGTCTTCCTAGAAAGAAAACTCCAAACCCAGATGAAGTCTAGTGAATTAGGCTTCACTAGAGAATTTTAGGCAACATTTAAAGAAAATATATCCAGTGGAGTGGGAGCAGTAATAAAAAAGAAAAAAGAGGGCCGGGCGCAGTGGCTCAAGCCTGTAATCCCAGCACTTTGGGAGGCCTAGGCGGGTGGATCACGAGGTCAAGAGATCAAGACCATCCTGGTCAACATGGTGAAACTCCGTCTCTACTAAAAATACAAAAAAGTAGCTGGGCATGGTGGCGCGTGCCTGTAATCCCAGCTACTCAGGAGGCTGAGGCAGGAGAATTGCCTGAACCCAGGAGGCGGAGGTTGCGGTGAGCCAAGATCACGCCATTGCACTCCAGCCTGGGTAACAAGAGCGAAACTCCGTCTCAAAAAAAGAAAAAAAGAAAAAAGAAAGAAAAAATAATAATACAAACTCAGAAAAAAGGGGATGCTTCCTAACTCCTTTTATATGACCAACATTACACTGATAGCAAAACCAAACAAAAAAGAATACAAGAAAACTACAAACCATTACCTCTTATGAAGAGAGACACAAAAAACCTTAACAAAAGACAAGCAAACAGAATCTAGCAATATATAATGTCCAAGTGGTGTTTATCCCAAGAATATAAGTTCTGTTTAATACTCAAAAGTCAGTGTAGTTTACATTAATGGATTAAACGAGATTTTAAAATGATATATAAAAGGCATTTAACAAAATGACAAAATTCAACTTCCATTCATTACAAAATCTCTCAGCAAACTAGAAATAGAATTCCTGTACCTGATGATGAACATCTATAAACTACCTCTAGCCATGACTGAAGGTTTTTCCCCTAAGGTCAGAAAAAAGGCAATGATGTCCACGTCCACTATCAACCACTTATACTCAGCATTTCATTTAAAGTCTTTTTTTTTTTTTTTTTCTTTTCTGAGATGGAGTCTCACTCTTGTCGCCCAGGCTACAGTGCAATGGGCATAATCTCAGGTCACCACAATCTCCACCTCCCAGGTTCAAGTGATTCTCCTGCCTCAAGTCTCCCAAGTAGCTGGGATTACAGGCGCCTGCCACCATGCCTGGCTTATTTTTTCTATTTTTAGTAGAGATGGGTTTCACTATGTTGGTCAGGCTAGTCTCAAACCTCAGGCGATCCACCTGCCTCAGCCTCCCAAAGTGCTGGGATTACAGGCGTGAGCCACTGCACCTGGCCGCGTATAAAGTCTTAAGCACTGCAATACAGAAAAAAGAGAAACAAAATGCAAAGAGATTGAAAAGGAAGAAATAAAACTGTCCTTACTTGCAAATGACATATATACCTACAATTTCCTAAGAAATTAACATATAAAATAAACAAAGTCACAAGATACAAAGTCAATTATAAATTAACTTTATTTTTATATATACTAGCAGCCAACTGGAAAACGACATTTCAAAAATACCACAGCTGGGTGTGGTGGCTCACCCCTACAATCCAAGCACTTTGGGAGACCAAGGCAGGAAGGAGGACTGCTTGAGGCCAGGAATTCAAGACCAGCCTGGCCAACATGGCAAAACCCCATCTCTACTAAAAACACAAAAATTAGCCCGGGGTGGTGGTACATTCCTGTAGTGCCAGATACTCGGGAGGCTGAGGCACAAGAATTGCTTGAACCTGGGAGGCAGAGGCTACCGTGAGCCATGATCACACCACTGTACTTCAGCCTGGGCAACAGAGGAAGACTCTGTCTCAAAAACAAAAACAAAAAAGTAGCCAGGCATAATGGCGCATGCCTGTAGTCCCAACTATTTAGGAGGCTGAGGTAGGAGGACCCTTTGAGCCCAAGAATTCAAGGCAGCAGTGAGCTATGACTGTGTCACTGCACTCCAGCCCAAGTGACAAAGCAAGACCTCATCTGAATGAAATAAAGAAAAAAAGAAAGAAAGAAAGAAAGAAAGAAAGAAAGAAAAAGAAAAAGTACCATTTATA